GAGAGAGGGAGAGGGAGAGAGGGAGGGAGAGAGAGAGAGAGAGAGAGAGAAAGAGAGGGAGAGGGAGAGAGGGAGGCAGGGAGAGAGATTTGGAAAGACAAAATAGGGCTGGAGAACCAAAGTCAACAAAATTTTTTTAAAAGTTATAACTCAGACTATTGTAAAAGCTAGTTGTTACCAAACCTAATTGCAAAATAAAAATCAAAACCTTTTACAGATTGCTAATTTATTAAATAATATAAGAAGAGTGTGGCAGACATTTTTCCTAATTAAAAAAACAAATTTTTCTATAATCAGTTTATCTCACCAGACTACAGGCAGATGAACTGAAGAAACAGGGAAATCTGAGTAAAACTGATAAATCTCAAAGTTTATGCTCTGACAATACATAGATATTCTGGCTCAACTTGCCATTTTCATAGACCTATTGATAATGACTATACTGTCACTGAATAAATGGCTTCTTTGGTGCCATTAAAAACACTATTAAATCTCTTGATTTCCATGAGGCTGTAAAAATTATATTAAGACAATTTTCTTAACCTTTGTCAACAAATCTAGTACAGCTACTCATGGTGCCCTGGTGATTATTGGTCTAAAAGAAAAAAGAGGAACTTATAAATTAAAAGAAGATGATTTAATCGCTGCTGGGAACTCTCATTTGATAAAATATCACTCTATCCTACAACAAGAAAATTTATGCACAAGGGCCGGGGATTTAGCTCAGTGGTTCTGCCGCCTGCCTTGCAAGCACAAGGACCCGAGTTCGATCCCCAGTACCAATCAATCAATATTTATACACAAAAGGTTTAAAGATGGATGTAATGTAAATTATTATCCAAGGTGTGAATTTCACAAGGCCCAAGGGAGAGAATCACTGCCAATTTCAGGAGTTCCCTAAAAATATGAATGATAATTATGTGTACCCTATTTACTTTTCTGAAACAAGGTGGCTAAGGGTAAAATGTTGAAAAGATTTAATAATTTGTAAAATGAAATCAAGCCCCTTCCACAGTAAAAAGAAAAAACTATACAATAAAAAACAGCTCACAGATTAAGCATTTTTGGTGGTTTGAATCTTCATTTAAATGAGTAAAATATGCACCTTCAAAGTAAAAATCAACTTCTCTGTTTTGTTTCAAACTATAACAATGCTACAAATGAAACATATTGGGATGATTTCAAATTATGGCAAAAATTTTATGCATTTTGGTACACTGGCTAAATAAACACAATCCTTTGAACCGTAAAAAAAACACACATCTTTGTATTCCATCCTGATACAGGAATTGAGAATAGGTTTCAAGATTTCTAAAAAAAAAAATCAATTTCTTGATACACTTGGAACTCCATCTTCAGTTGACAAAAGTACAGTCTGCAAAATTTCAAATGGACTGTATAAAGTGGCAATCACATTCAACTCAAAGAAAAATTTTATGTCTCTTTGCTAGACTTTTATAAGATCCTATCTTTCCAGAGAAAAATTTACTTCACTTCGCTATCATGCTTTACTCATGTTAATGCTTTTTGGCAATACATACATTTGTGAACAACTACTTTCAAGATGAAGCACATTAACAGTAAAATTATATAAGGAATTTCTGAAGAGCATCTTGAACTCACTAAAAATCACAACACAGAACTAGACAGTGATGCATTTGTTTCACAAAAAAATGTAAAAAAACTCCACTAGATTTATCTTCGTTATCCTTTTCTAAAAATGTTAATAAAAATAAAGCAAGTTTTGTTGTCTGTATACATTGACTTTATTACATATTTTACATACAGCCCCAGACAATTCTTCTTCACTCAGTGGATCCCAGACAAGCCAAAATTTTTACAATAAAAGACAATATAGTAATAGTAATGCTATTTGCTTAGATTGCCCAACTCTTCTATGACAGAACCAAGATGATTAAGAAAGAAAAATTACAGATCAACCTCTCTTAGAA